CGCCCGCGCCCCCCGCAGCACATTGTGATGGCGGGCACCCAGGACAAGAAGATCCAGCAGTGGGACCTCAACACAGGGGACATGGTGCAGAGCTACGACTACCACCTGGCCGCCGTCAACACCGTCACGTTCATCGACCAGAACCGACGCTTTGTGTCGACCTCGGGTACGTCCCTGGCGTGTGTGTGGTGTGTGTGTGTGCGGTGCTGGTGGTGATGGTGGCGGCGGTTTGTGGTTGTGGCGGTGGGGGCGGCGGGAGGGCAGGCAGGCAGGCGAATGACCCGCAGCATGCCACGGCGCCGGCCCGGGCACCGACGTGGCGGTCCGTGGCGGCCCCTCACCCCACGCCCCGCCCTGTCCGCCGCACTTTCTTCCCCGCCCCGCAGACGACAAGACCATCCGCATGTGGGAGTATGGCATCCAGGCGCAGGCCAAGTACATTGCGGGTGCGTGCGTGCGGTGGAGGTGGCGGCGGTGGTGGTGCTGGCTGCCGGGGAGGGGGTGGCTGGCTGCCACGCTGGCGCAGCGCAGGGCGGGGTCGGGCGCCTCGCAGGCGGCTGCGGGGGTGGAGTGGGTCGGCGCGGTCGCGACCCTGGGCTGGTGATGCAGCCTTTCAGGAGGCCGGCTGTGTGGGTGCTCGCGGTGGCCGGCACCAGGGTGGTTTTTTTTTAGGGTTGAGCGGGACACCGCTGCGCCGCCGCCCGCGGGCCTGCTGCCGGTTTGCCCATGACGTCACTGGGCTGCCCGCCTGCCCCTGCCTGCCGCTGCCTGCAGACCCCTCCATGCATGCCATCTCCTATGCCTGCACCTCACCCAACGACAAGTGGTGGGTGGGCCAGTCGATGGACAACCAGAGTGAGCGGGCGGCAGGGCCCCGCAGCGGGGAAAGGGGGCGGGGCTGAGGGAGGGGGGCTGCCACGTGTTTTGTCGCCGCTGTGCGGTGATCCACGCTCCGGCCAGGGCGCGCCGGGGTGGCGCTGCACAAATCTGTCCTGCGTGCCCCGCCCGGAGCTGCCCCCAGCCTGGGCCTTGCCTCTGGAACCGTTGCCGAGCCTGGGCTGAGCGCGTGCCCGCCCGCCCCTCCTCTCCCCTGCTGCCCTGCCTCGCAGTCGTGACTTACAGCGCCGACCGGCTGAAGCCGAACAAGAAGAAGACGTTCAAGGGGCACCTGGTGGCGGGTGGGTGCTGGTCCCAGCATGCTCCTCGCCCGCGCCGAGTGGCCTCGCCCCCGCTGCCAAGCATTGGCCTGTGCATGCGTGCTGTGCCGCGGCGTGGGCGGGGGCCCTTGCGGGCAGCGCTGCACATATGGAGGGCTGCCTGCTGCGCCGCGGCAGCGTGGGCAGCCGCCTGGCCCCTGTGCTTCCCATCCCCAGCCCACTGCATGGCTGAGCTGTCGACCGGGGCTGGGTGTGGTGGCGCGGCGTGCAGGCTATGCGTGCCAGGTGGCGTTCAGCTGGGACTCCCGCTTCATCATGAGCGGCGACGGCGAGGGCAAGCTGTTTGTGTGGGACTGGAAGACGACCAAGGTGGGCGGCCGTCGGGGCACATGGGCAGCCGGTCCTTGTGCAGAGGGCCCGCTGGCAGCGTTGGGGAGAGCAAGGGGGAAATGCATTCCTTGCGCTTCTCCAGCCTGCTCGCCGGCTCTTGACGCATCCCCTCCTTGCGTCTCCCCGCTTGCGCCCCTGCTGCAGATTGTGCGCAGCATGCGGTGCCACGACCAGGTGCTGATTGGATGCGAGTGGCACCCGCTGGAGACGAGCAAGGTGCGCTGCAGGGGGGGACGTGCAGGCAGGCCGCCTGGGGCTGCCTGCCGTGCTCGCATGTGGCACCGGGCTGCTTCCTTGTTGTGGGCTGGGGCAGCGCTGGCATCGCCATGCCCCGCAGCCCGGGTATGGTGACACCTCTTGCTTGCCTTGCCCGCCCTGCAGGTGGCCACCTGCTCCTGGGACGGCCTGATCAAGTACTGGGATTGAGGGAGGAGGAGCTGGCGTGGTGCCGGCAGCCCTGCGCATGCACGCTCGTTTTGCAGTCTTGTAGCACGGGCCCCTGTCTCCCCCTTCTCTCCGCAGCTTTGTTCGGTTCGGTTGCTTTGCTATTGCTGCTGTGCCTCCCTCGTTTTCGTCCGCATCTTCCTGCTCCATCCTGTTGCACACCCGCACCCGTCTCTCGGTGGGTGCATCCTGCTGCTGTGGCTGCTCTGCCGGCGGCTAGCAGTCACCATGTAGGAAAACACTTGAAAGGTTGACGATGCATCTCCTGAGAGTTGCATATCAGGAACAATGGGTTGCTTTCTCTTGCTGCCCAGCGGCCCAGGCCCAGGCCCAGGCCGGCATGCGGCGACACAGCACAGCGCAGCATGATGGCCGCCACAGTTCACTCTGAACGATTCCTTTGCACTTCTCCTCGCGCTGTAATTATCAACACGCTCTTGAGCAGCGCGCGGGCGATGCTCCAGCCGCAACCCCGCTGCCATCGCGCGTGGGGAGTGTCTCTGCGTGCCGCGGCGCGCTGCATTTTGGTGGCATCGCAAACAGGTGACTGGCAGGGCAGCAGCTGCACCTTCTCGTCGACGCCTGCAGTTGGCGGCGGGGCGGCGGCTCCCCTCGGCACAGGCAGCGGACGCCTGCCTCGCTGCATGTCATGGCCCTCTCAGTGATCTTCCCCCCGTCCTTGCGCAGGCATTTCACCAGCACATGCGCCGCAGAGCAGGACCCTGCTGCGCGCCGCAGGGCTGGCAGCCGGCCTGTGCGCGGCCGCGGTGGCAGCCGCTCCAGCCAACTTCCCCCTGCTACACGCACAGTGCAGAGCGGCTGCCAGCAGCAGCAGCAGCAGCAGCAGCAGCAGCAGCAGCAGCAGTGATGAGCAAGAACCGCAGTTTGGGCTGCTGCGCATCGCTGGCGACGGGCGCTGCCTGTTCCGCTCGCTGGCC